ATTTCGAGTGTAGTGCGCATGCGCCCTGGCCTGGGGTGGGAGTAAGATGACTCGACTTACTCTCGTATATAAATATAATTATTTATTCAATAAATATAACTAATTCGACTATTTTGCGATCCTCACACGCACTGGCAATTAAATTGCAAACGACTGGTGATAATTTTAATAGTAGAAACTCTACCGTTGAGGCGAAATAATAGTTTTATTAGATTCTCGCAGGACGTACTACATTTTATTTTTTTTACAAAAAAATAATACTCTGACAATTTTTTGCATGGCAATTGCAAAACCTGCAAACGATTCCGCAATTTTTGGTATTTTTTTTTTTTTTGCTGGATGCAAGTCGTTCGCACAGTTCACTGTGCTCTTTCTTTTGCACTCCGTGGCCTGCGCGTACAGGCTTTCTTGGGATTTCACGTCGCGGAGATTAATGAGGAGGAGCCGATGAAGTAGCTCGACGGGAACAAAAGACGCGCCCGCAGGTGATGGATCTTTCTCGCTCTCGCGCGTCCAAATGGGCTGAAGAATGAGACGCACAATGGACATCCAGTGAATGGACTATACGTCGCGGAGAGGCGCGGGGAACGCGCTAGAATCAATTTTCCGTACGGGGAGGCTATGGGAATCGCGCCTCTGCGCTGCCTTAATTACCATGTGATTTGTGCGCATTGAGTTGGTGGGTACGTGAATAATTAGGTATACCTCCCCGGTAATTCTTTAAATGGCCGATCAATCAGAACTTCCATTTGGGCTAAGGATTAATATATATATGCGTGGCGAATATTAGTAGTGTTGAAACGTTAATTGATACGGTGGCTGTATTCTTCTGAAGGAGAGTTGGTTGTTTTTTTGTTTAAAGATCCTCTGTACATCTAGAGAGAGACGTGAGAGACATGTTTAAAAATCATTTCGCGAGCTATATTTTCAAAACTTTGCATGGGCCAATCGTCCGTACCCATACCATACGAATGGCCGAATCGAACGATTCCTGGTGGGATAATAGGCGTGGACATCCCATTTTCTACTTCTGATTCTGCGATTTCTTTGTAATACAAGTTACTTTTATTGATGAAAAATGCCGGTCGGTTCGAGATTTACTTCAACGTTTTTGATGATTCCTTTTCTTACGATTCGCCGATCTAACCCGTCATACGTAGGAATAATAAATTTTTCCGACAATATTTCAACAGCAGGAAAATATGTTGCAACTACGATTAAATACTCATTGCACTCGTGTGCTGCTGGAAATAAACGTCACCACAAATGGCGCAAAGATTACATCAGGGACATATGACCGTTATGGGACAGTATGTACGTGTTGAAATTTGAAAAAATTCGCACTTAAGCGTTCAGTTATGTATACCATGTTCAAGACTTGAGAAGATCAACAATTTGTGGCAAATCAAACAAATGTAGACCTTAGGATTGGTGAACTATGAAAGTCGACGCGAAAGATGGTCAGTTTTGATGTCACCCACGCATAAAAGTCCGCTCGAACAGTATGGAATAAAATTGCTAAATCGATGGACAAACGTTTCCGTTTGATTGGTAAGTAAGGGCCCAAAAGGCACAAATTAATTTCCTGCATATTGACTGCAAAACCAAGTGAGTTGCTCCAATTCTTGTACCATTTCAAAAAGCATCACAAGTAATATTGATGGGGTAAGCATTGGACAAACAGTTAACTCGATGTACCGTAATCACCCCGCTAGTTCCATTGAATTAAAAAAACGAATAGAGTGTATGATTGATGCACAAAAGAGGTACATAATACATCATGTACACCATATCCCATCACAATTTCAACACACATTTTTGAAAGGTCTTAAATCAGGAGTATTTGTCACCCATTGTGGTTATTTCTCGATTATGTAAAGCTGCTGAAACGGTTAATAATGGTCCTGAAAAGGATTACGGCCATTCCTATATTCTCCAAACGGAGGAAACAAATGTTCAAGCAAATCTCAGATGAGCAGTTGGTGAAAATGGCACTACTAGCACACACGAAAGCTCGAAATAGAACCAATACAGCAGTGGGGGTTGTTCTTGGGATGGGGGGCGAGGGGTGGGAGTAAGTGCGAATAACTTCTATTACGGAAAAAACGGCACTACTTTAGATCGGAGGAGAGAAACGCGTGCCTGGCGAGAGAGCAAAAAAAAAAAACATCGCGAGCAGAGAAGCGTGAAAGCGACACGCCTCGAAAAAGTCCGTCCAATGGTAGAACACCGGAGGGCTTAGCCAAAGTAACGCGTCTCGCGTTGTTGCGTTTGCGCGCCGTTTGCACCACCACCACCTCTGTTTACTCGCCCGTTATATACCTATACACACTTAGTAACAGAAGTTGTACAGCGTACTATATAATACATGTATATATGTATACAGCAGTGGAATAAGCGTTCGCCCAGCATCAGTCACCCATATAGTAGGCATAAGTAAGAGAAAAAGCGAGCTGGTAGTGGTGGTGATGGCCGAGGCGGGCCGATGGTGGTGGTCGTAACGAGCGCGTGTACACACACATACGCGGCATAGGTACCGCCCGGGAGAAAGAGACGCCGGTAGGAAGGAAGGCAACCAAGTGTAACCAAGTACCTATACACTATTACACTTGGGTAAGAGGGGCCATATCGCGCGACCGTATACCACGACATGCCGTCTCTTCAGCGCGCAGTTGGCAGCTCCGACGCGTACGGCACACACGCACCTATATGTACACGATAAAACGTCGTACCATACGCTCCATATAGTCGCATGAATGTAACACATGTGTGTATACACGTACATGTGCGAGGAGGTCCGACGCCCCCCCCTCCGCGAATCAGTGTATACCCCCCCTCTCTCTCCCCCGTGCGCTAACGCCGCGTGGCTCGACTCCGCTACTGTGACCATGACGCGCGATCAGCTGTTCCGCCGCGGACTCAGCGACGTTGGCTGTTCCCTTTTTCGCTGAACCGTCATCGCTGCTCCCGCGCGCATTCGTATCGCACGTACAAGTACATATATATATATACCAAACAGTACACACCCTCTATGTATCTCGGAGGGCCACCGGAGGGTCGTCGGCAACGCGCGAATGGCTATTCCCTCCCGAGTACCGTGTAGTACACGGCAAAAAAACGCACAGAGAGAGCGCGGTCGTCCTCGCTAGTATTCCATCTCTNTAACTATATATATATTTATACATACCTAGTCAGCCTTTCGGGCTCTTTCTTTCCGGTTTAGCGGAGCGCGCGAGTACTTACTCTGCTCCGTGTACATATACATTGTATACCGATCTGTCGCGCGCATCGGCTTTTCATCCTCGATCGCTCTACTTACTCTTTTTTTTGTTCCCCGTAACCCTATGTCATCCCTGTCCTTTTTGTTCTTGTTGTTCGCGATGTGCACAGTGTGAAAGGTACGACCAGAGAAAAAGTTGACAAGAAACAACAAGGGAGAGTCCGATAGCTCCCGCCACATATATAGGAAGAGGTGGAGAGAGAGAGAAAAAAAAAGTTGTTGCCGTTGATTGTTGTTTGTTGTTCGTAATAGTGGTAGTGGCTGTGGTGGTGGTGGTGGTGTTTAGTGCGAGTGCGAGGGTACATCCAGGGCTTGGGCGCCCGCCAAGCTAGCAAAACTGGAGGTTCTCGGGATGTTCCCGCCGCGCACGGAGGCGCCGAGCGCCGAAAAGCTCGCGCTCTGCTACGCGCCCCACGTCGACATGACCACTGTCATCGAAGTCGAGGTGATTTTTTTTTTTTCTTTTACCTATCATCATAGCGCGTTCAACCTGGTTGACTTTGGTCGAGTAACATCAAAGATCCGAAACGTTCTTTTTGGGGAATTTTTCAATACCACTCCGTCCGAGTGTCAAATATCGGGATTTGGATTCTCCATTTTAGCCGAATAAGAGCACACGTTTCTCTTACTGCGTATCTACATGTAAAAAAACAAAAAAAAAAGAGCCCAAAATCCAAATGAAAAAAAAAGAAAAAATGAAGAAACTATCTCTTGTATGCACACACGCACACAAAAATCTGAAAAATTGACAACCAAGTCGTTAACAGCCAGTAAAAATTCACCGATACGAGGCGAGCAATTAGCAAAGCAGAGCCCGCGATCATCGGAAAATTCATTAGCCGGTTGCTCCGCGACAAAAGATAGTCGTGGCCGAGGGGGAGAGGGCAATTAGGCCCGTAATCGTTCGAAAAGCACCTTTTAACGAGCGCTCCGATGGCACCGCCCGAACGAGCGTCTTCCTTTAGTCACCGAGACGTTTTCCCTACGCCGAAACATTCCAAGCGGGCCCGACACGCCACGCGCGCTCGGACGACCCCCCGCGTTCGATACACCCTCCCCCGACACCTACCCCCAGGGTCGAAACGGGACCAAAAAAAGCACGGCTTCCCCCTGATTATGCCCCGTCCTGTGATGCAAGGGCAAACGTTGCACCGATTTCCGCGCGTGGTCGTTGTCTATCATCGCCTGGTCACGTATTTGTGCGTAGCGTCACTCGGCGGTGAGGGAAAGTTGTACTTGCAGCACTGAATCATCGTCGTGCATCGCTCGTGTCCTTATCGCATTTCGTAGGCTCGATTAAGCGGACGAGCTCGAGTTTGTCGGTGCATTTTCACGCATTGCGCGCGAGCCGGGGAAGATGAGCAGTTCGGAGTCACGAGACGAGCGGTCCGTTGGATCGGGTCCCCGTCACGAGAGCTACGGCGGTTTTCCTGCCTTTTTCCCGGGTTCCGTGGATCTAGAGCTCAAGTTCATGGTGAGTCTTTGACGTGTACAGTACACCTATATATACAGTTTATATACGCCGGTGGGCCGGTCGATTCGGATATAGAGTGGCTCGCGCGGCTGCTCTGCGGACGAGTGTCGATATTGCGTTGCCGGCCCCGGTTTTTTAATACCTCCGTGGACAAGCCCCGGGCTCGGCTAGACTCGCTTGGGGCTCGCGTTATTAGGTTATTGTCTAAAGTGGCTTTGTTTTTTTTTTTCTTTCTTTTATCATCTCCCACGTTTGTGCGGGTGGAGATAAACGAGTGATCAAAGTTATTGCTGTGACGAGCGTTCCTTTCAGTTTCCCTGCGGCGATTCATTTCATCCGATGATTCGACACGACTTTAAAAAACCCTCGAGTAGATTTTTCTTGGCACCTGTTCGCGTCTCACTGATACATTAGTTTCATGATAAATTTGACAAAAAACGAATGTAGTATAGGTGCACGCAAGACGTCATCACTACGTCGTTGCGATGAGGAAGGAAATATCTATCTTTGAGAGGACGAGACCACATTGGCTCTTAACTTAATCGAATAGCGTTGCTGTAGTCGTGTTTGAGAGTGACAGATTAATTTTTATAGATATTCTTGTGATACATCATATTGTAAAACTACTACACTGCAAAATCCAAGTGTGTTAAAGTATACGTTTGAAGCGTGCAGTAATCGAAATTTCAGTTTTTTTATAAAATGCATTATAATAGTCTTGATAAACGTTTAAAGAAAAATCAAATTGGTGCTTTGTAAATTATTTCACTTACTCTATTAAACAAAACAATTTTTGTTTCTTCAATGATTAACCTATAAGAAGGCTGTAGATAGTAAAACATTTCTGTCACAGATTGTGCACACTTGGAAGTGTGACAGTCAAGTTTTTTCACTCCACAGCTTTTCTACATAATTTTTCCCATTTAAATAGGTTTACAGTGAAACTAGTTAACCATTCGGTACACTATAAATTTGGATGTCCTTAAAATTATTATCCACCTCACCACAATGTGTTTTATAAAAAAAAAAAATTTCAACTACACACTTATAATGTGAAGGTCACAACTTTTGGTTGTTTTTCTTATAGTAATTGTTTTATTATTATAATGTACGTTAATTGCTTCAAATTCCATGAAAAGTGGGTATTACCTAGAAAAGTGTCACTTTGCTACTTAAAGTGTCTTCACGTCGTTTATTTTTCCTAAGAATGGAAATCGTTTGGTTTGAAAAAAAATGAATCATGCATTATATTCCACTCGTCAAACAATGCTTTTCACTGTTACTCGGAGAAAACTTACGACTACTGTGATGATATCAGGTATGGATGAAAAAAAAAGAAAGAAAAACAATTGTATTTAAATTCCAGCTTATGACCTCCGAACAAAACCGGGAGTAACTGATTTCTCGAAAATTAAATCACGTAGTCAAAAATAAATCCTCATTTCAGGACTGATAACAAACCGTGACATACACACACATACGCGCACTTAAAATACAAGAACCTGCGCGATCGCACCTCCGCATCTTCCAACGATAGCCGCGGCTCGAATCGCCAGCAGCGTATACGCTATAGCCCGCGGCGTGACTACTGTACACAAGCGTGTTAGTGTACGTGCACCACAAATGTAAAAAACAACGATTCACCATCGAATGATCTTTTCTCAATGCGCATAAATATTCACCCGCCCCAAATTGAAACGAATTCGTTTGGAAGGACTTTGATGGCGGGGATCGGATGTTTGCGTAACCACGGGTTTCCAAACGCTTTCTTTTTTTTTTTCTAACGAACATCACGTGCACATCTTCAGTGGAGCTAAATATAGACTCTCGGCCTTGGAGTTGAAAATTATGTGTGAGGTATATATATATATGTACAGCGTAGAGATTGAAAAGTTTACTTTCTATTATTTTTTCGATCCGATCGGCACAAATCATGCAAATCGAGCCGCGAGTGCGGGGACACGCTCCATCTCCATCACCGGATTTTTATTTCCATAAATACCACAAACGGTCCTTCACCTTCATTTCTCGCTTTTTAAAACAAGCACTTTCTCCAAAATCCTTTCCGTAGCCGCAGTAAGCTTGATACGCGTCACCCAAGTTGGTCGTTCCCTCAATATACACATAGATACAAGTTTATTGTATGAAAAATGTGAACATAACACAATACGGTAGTCAATAAAAAACGGCACTGCAACCAAAGTTAAATACGCCACATTTTAATGAGTCGGAGTAAAATCATTTCAACAGCAGGAGTCGTAGCCCGTGAGTACTCTCGAGACTCGAGTACTTTTAAATTTCGTTTAAATCTCGAGCGCGTTTTCGGGACCCGCTTATTTTCTTCTCTCCCGTGCACCCGAAAAGGGATAAAACCTCACCCCTCGCTGCACTGGCTAAAAATTATTGTCGAGATACGTGCCATTGCCCTCCCTGGATTTTTCCTGGCCGCGAGAGCAAATTGCACTTTGGCGCGTGAGTAACTCTTTATTGAGGGGAGGGAAGAAAAGGAGGAGCGACCGATAAGTCATTACGCGATGGCCTGCTTATTTACGCTGTGGATGCACGTGGGCGCTGGTGTACAGGCCTCGTTCGTTTTCGGACGCGAGAGTTTGGTGAAGCTCGTTTCTCACGGCTAAAGATTCGTTTGTGCCGTTAATTGATCGGGTGGGGAAGGGAGTGCTTTTTTTCGCGACTTTACGGAAAAAAAGAGATGGGACTTTGTAATTGAAGTGGTGCTTTTTATCCAAAGTTCTGATCTTTGCGGCTGTGCTGCAGAATAACTGGGGAATTTTTTTATTTTTACAAAGAGTGACGCTGTGTACGGCGTTTTGGATATGATTTTGGGGTTCGATGGACAAAGTGTGTAGCGACGAGGTTGCCGAAGCTTTTTTTTTGGGAGCATTGAGTCTAAAAACCTTGATATCCGGCAAGAATAATCAACTCTTTCAATTGTTATGCTTTCAAACGTACTTCTATCACTTTATTGTTCCTCGAACTTTTTTCTGCATTTTTCAGATTTATGTACTTAATTATTTTTAAGTAATTAAATCCATTCTATTTTTGTTTTGGTCTATTAATCAACAGACCACATGTGATTTGTTATTGTTATTTTTAAATTAAAGTTTCATGAAATCTAAATATTAAGTTCAAAACAATTTACCAGAGATTGTGACTTAAGTACAGAAAAAAGTTTGCTTGTGCTAAACATTTTTCTGCTGTTGGTTTGTTAAACACGTTTCTGTATACATTATAGTACATACATACATGGTACAAAAGAGGTTTTTTTTCTTACGACTTCAACAGTCCGTATCGGTCAAGTCATTATGTACATATTAGTTAAAAATTTTATTTTTGAGATGAACTTCTACCTGATAAAAAACATTTTTGTGGAATTTTAAATATTCAATACAATGACTAAAAATTACTTTGAACCGATATTTCATTATCAAAAAGTGGAAAATCACATTATTGTAAATAGAAAAAAACTTTTTTTAATACGTTTTTTTTTCTAAGAAAAAATCGTTCAAACTATAAACTTAAAACAAGTTTTTTTTCCATCACAATTAGTAATTAGATTACTATTAAGTCAACTGGTTGGTTCTACTATGAGGATTAAAAAAAAAAAAAAAAAAAAAACTGATAACTTACAATGTTGACTCTAACTCTTCCGTGTGGAGCGTGGCTTCTAGAGCGCGGCGAAAAAGAAAACTAACATTATACAAACATTCTGTTTTTATCATAGGTGTGGACAGAAAAAAATTGATCTACAAAAATTGTGTGTGTGCAATGAAAAAATTTCAAGAGTTTCTTTGTTAATAACCAAATAATCAAGAACACGTTTATTGTTCGCCAGTAATAATCAAGTCCCTACGTTAAAAACAAATAAGCTATTGAGAAAAAAAATAATAATCGTGGGTCTCTTTAATTTTCTTAAAAATACCAAATTACGAAACGTATCGAAATCGTACAAACTCACCCAGCCACGTCATCATCGACCCGTCCTAGCCGCGTACACTTGACCAAACTTGACCCAGTAATCTGCAAAAGTGCACTTATTGGCCCAACCTGTGCCAGAGCGGCTCTCCCCGTGTGGCTTTAGAGATAAGTACCAAAATTTATGCGATCGAACGCGCAAAAAAAAAAAAAAAAAAAAAGTGCTACTCTCATGAGTCGCGAATTAACGGAACCTCCAGTGTAGATCCCAAGGCTTTATTTATGGAAATGCAGGTCGTGCGTTTGTTCGGCCCTTTTTTTTCTCCTCAGGTTGGTGGTACAGCTTGTTTACGAGCCTGAAAATCGGTGCATTAAAACTCCCGTGCGTTCGGCGGGACTCATTGTCGCGTAAATTCTTCTTTATCGCGAGCCGAATTTTTTGGCACAGTAATGCGTCGCTTCGGCAATATTTTTGGACATAATTCTTTTTTTTTCGTTCAGGGTTTTGGTGCAGCGACGCGTTTCGTTTTCTTTCGGATATCGTATGCCTTCCATCCTACAAACGTTTATACTATTTTTGTCGTGAAACATCAAGAATCAATTTTAATTTGTCTATAGTCACTATGTATACTATAGCTCATGGCTTGTAGGGTTGAAAGATAGTACAAAGTATATTTTACCCACGGTGTTCACTGTATTCTCACGAGTACAATACTTATCTAGCTAGTAGTTCTAAATAAAAATATATATGTATACAGTAGTTAATTGCTATTGTTGCTCATTTCTAAATTATGCGTGTGCTGCCGTAAGTGGAAAATTGTATTTAAAACATGTTCGGATACTTATACACCTAGTCAAACATTAATTGAGTAATTGTCTTCGTATAATATTATGATATAAACAACATCAATGGAGCAGCCGTAGCACAGATGGCTAAGGCGCAAGCTACGGTTAGCAGGACTTATGAATCCCAGTCGGCGCAACTTGAAAGTTTTTGTCAAAGTTGATGTTTACGGCTATGCTCCGTCCGTTATTTCACCCTCATACTTATGATTGACTGAGGGGACATTTCCAACACAGCCTCTGGCTAGAGATCACTGGGGAGCATGACATGGGAAACAGGGGGTGGGAATCAATGTTCTCTCCACAAGTAGGTAATGGCAAAAGGTACCTGTGAACATCCCTCTGGTAGAGCATGGGTTACTTTACTAGGACAAGACAACGGAAAAATATTTATAATCCATACTGTAAGAATTGTTCAGTCTAGTTAAGCACTCGAATGACATTTCAAACAAAGTATCGAGTGCACCGTTATCAGTCCAGCCCTTGTGAGTGACAGTTCATTTAAGTACTTTGGTGTTGCGCGTAAGGCCCAAATTTCAAATATACCGGAGACGATTATGCAATACTATAGCTTTCACGTATGCGGCTTATGTTGTATTACGGTATAAGTATAGTCGAGTAGTAAATTAACTAAATCCTTAATTGGCTCAAATAGATCAACAAATTAATAAAAACACCGATTTCCAAACCATTCGTCAGTGCAAAACGGCTTTTATTCTAGTTTTTGAAAATTGTAAAACCCTATCGTGTCCTGCAATCACAAAAATAATGACGTCAAAAAATATGTTTACGTGACGCAATGTCAAAAACAATCGAAAGATGAACCACATGGGGAAAAAAGTTTTGTCTCGAATGTTTCGGATACCAAGAAATTAAAAAAAAAATTCTTTATTTCGTTGTTACGAGGATTTCCAAAAGCAAATTTTCGGGGATGGAGTGGGACCAGACCAAGGGGCTGCGCATTCTTGAACTCATTAAAAAAGACTTTGTAAGTCATTCTAAGTCTTTCAAAGATCTCAAGAGTCTCCAAAAGACTTCAGAGTGCGCAGCCCCTCGGACCAGACGAAAACACCTCAAAACGAGACTTTGTTTTCAGAGGAACGTACAATTTTACGCGATAAAAGAAAAATGTCATTTAAGGGGGTAGTAAAAAAACGCACTGCGTCGTACAAAAAAAAAAAAAAAAATTAACCACGAACATTTTGTCATTTCAGGACCGGCTGACGGGCCACGGCGGCATCTCGTCCCTAGGCGGTGGCAACAGCTCGCCGTACTCCGGGGCCCACCACCACGGACACCGCGGCAACGGCAACGGCGGCGGCATGCCCCACCACGGGGGTGCCTCGCTGCCCACTGCCTCGGACTTCCAGCCGCCCTACTTTCCGCCGCCCTTCACCTCCCACCACCATGCCCCGGCCAGTCCACAACACCCCGGCCTCGGGCAGCCCCAGCACCTCGACTACCTCGTCGGCGACCCCTACACCCAGACCCTCAACACCCTGCACCAGCACCACTACAACCACATCAGCGCGGCCGTCAGCGCTGGACAGAGGAGCGGGGACCTCCGGAGGGACACCGAGGCCATACACGTCGTGAGTCCATTTATCCATCACTTGTTTTTATTTTTATGCACACGTAGTTTCATGTATACACGTATACCCACGACAATCAGCGTTTGAATTGATTTTTTTAACTCGAAAGGAAACACACAAGTTCATCGTTATTCAACAAGTAACGATTGATGTTCCCGTGAGATCGGCATCGCTCGTTCATTTATATACAATCGAGTGGTCGACCAACGAGCGAGACTAGGTATACACAAACTCACACGTGACAAGCGCCAGACAGAGGAATAAGCGATAAATCAAGCTTGGCGAAAAAAAAAAAAAATAGTATAGAGTAACCGATCGATACGTCCCCGTCGTTATCACGGCGGTCATGACCACTGTACAGAGAGTCAAAGTTGCACCGCGAGGCTCATTAACATTGGAAACTCGTGGTTTTCCGGTGCCAACGACAGATACACCATACGTATATGCTACTACTACCCGACGATCACGTTGACGTATTGCTTGGCACACACACACACACACACATTTATATACATAAAAAAAGAGTCGCCGATCTCGAATTGGCATTCGGGTCCCGTTAAAACTCGTCGTCGGCTTCGATGATCTTTCCTCCTCATCCCAGCCGATGGAGCAGCCACGCCGTCTGTCCTCCTCGTTTATATATACGAGGCGTGTCGTCCGTCAGCGCCCGACGAGCGGCGGTGCGCTTAAATTCAATTACCCGCGGCCTGGATTTGAGGCACTTTTCGCGTCTCATCTCTTCATTATATACCAGCGATCTCGTTGTTGCCGTTGCCTTAATTTTACACGGCTCGACTCGGGTTTCTTTACGTGTACACCCATTATGTGCTACAGTGTGATCCTCGCCTTTGCCGTGTTTTCCCCCCCAACAAAAAGTACCGTCATCGGCACACTCGAGCTTTGACCCAGCGGTTTTTGTAAATCACGAGCCGAGATTTAGTAGATTCGCACCCATATTGTGTACACTCATTTATGTATATATTGGCGGGCCGTACGAAAACGAGCGGAACTCTTAGTTGTGGGACTCGCCCGTTCGGACCCACTGTTGTAATTAAGGGCGTTTTTAAGAAACGCATACCTCGCGAGTCGCGGGAATAAGAAAAATTAAAAAAGTTTACTACGATATTATGGAGATCACGAGTTGACTACATTAAAAATAGACGAATCATTCAAGAATATTATTTTTAATCATTACGAAGCTATACATTTGAAATTTCAAGTTATTTGTTGACTAGTTTTCGTATCGGCTCGGCAAATTTCTGCTCATTTTCGTTGTACGTGAATAATGTAAGTTTGAGTTTAATCAAGTTAAATTGAAATTTATCAAAATAGACTCATACCTATATGCAGGGAATAGTGCACAGTTAAAGTTATCTATTCGGGTACATTTCACGAATGGCATTTACACGTAAAATTTAAATTTGGCTAAAACTATCAGTAATAACGTATAAAATTGTTCCTTTAAGCATATATGCCACTGGTATTAAACTGTTTACTGGTACTTTACTGTTTGTATTGACGAGTGGAATGAAATCTCTAAGAATGATCCACCACGAAATTGAAAAAAAAGCTCCCAGCTTTAGTCCAAGTCTGAATTATCTGCTCATTTCCGGCCATACACGATTGACGAATCGCCCCATCAGCTACAGGTGGTCAAACCGCAAGTTAACACGGGTACATCGACCCATCGAGGGAGAAAAAGAGGCCGTTACAATTGGAAACCGAGTAGGTACACGAATAGCGTCCATCGTCACGCGAGCATCCGCGCTTCGTTCACTTGTCGCGAAAACACTCTCGCATCAGCCGCCCGTTTGAAGAAACGAGCCTCGGACCCTCGCACCCGTCATTGACAAGAAGAGAGGAGGAAGGGAAAAACGGGGCAAGAACCGAATAAAAGAAATCCGAGCTCGTATCAGTTTTCGTAGCCATCCCAATGGGGGCACTGGGCCGATTCCGCGGCTCTACGTATATAAATACCGATCCACCCGGACATCTGTCAGCGCCCCTCTCACGCTTTCCTCCTCCCGTTTCGCTCGTGTTTTTCCCAAACTCGGACGCTAAAAAGTCTCGTGTCCCTATCGTTACAATATTCTAGCCAAGACGCCGCTGCGGTCGGGCTACGTGTTCCCCCCGAGCCGAAACTACTCCGACGGGTGTACACGAAAGTGTATATAGGCACAGCGCCGGGCGGGCTATGGTATTATCGCTCGTAATTTCGTGCACGCGTGTCGGAGCTTGGAATTTCGCATAGTTAGCGAGCGTCTCCTGACGTGTACAAGTTTGCCGCTGCGCGCACGGGGATGCTGCGTTTTCGGAAGAAAAGGAATCCCCTTCCACGTTTTTAAAACGATGGGCTTACTTTGCAAGGTTTACCTCGTTGGCGCGATCGATAAATCATTTTACAGCTGATCGTTTGATGGGCACGCGAACAGCAACCCCCAAAAAAATTGCAGCCCTCATCAACCGTACGGGTTTATGGTCTTGTCTTCCGATAAGCGCGGCATACTCGTTGGACGCCGGTGATACGAGTATTGCACGCGTCTGCCATTATAAAACAAGTAGATAAAAGAACTTTGAAGTGTTTTAGCGTAGGACGTGTACGGGGATTATCGAGGAAAAAAGGGCCGATAGCAGGGTAGTACTATCGCCAAAAGTTGTAAGCTGTAAGGATTGCAATGGGCGCGTGGCCATTATTGGAACGGAACAAGCGTCGCGGACGAGGCGAAGGACCCGGTGTAAGTACGTATACTATCTAGTGTGAGAAAGTGGCCTCTGATTGTTTTAAGCGTCTCCGTCTCTCTTTGCTCCCTCGCCACCACCTTCTTCTCCTTTGTTATCTTCCGGGGCTCTGCATTCCTGGCTCAACGCAGTAATTTACTTATTAGGTCCCGGGCGGGTCTCCCATCGACATTCTAACTCTCCCTATATGCTTCAAAAGAAGAGGAGAAGGGGCTTCTTTTACCTCCCCAGTCCTTTGCACATCAGGGATGCCAGAGACGTTTACTTTGAGTCCGAGGCTCGGATCACATGCCGAGAATAACGACATATCTATATATGCTGCATGTGCCGCTTCAAGAGTAACGTAGTTCACCAGAATGAATAACAAAATTTACGGGATAACCGACAAGCTCGTCTTCATAGGTTCGGTGGGAGAAGATACAATAATTCAGGTGACATATATACGATGCATAAAAACGATTGCTTTGGTGGCAACGACTCGGGCAATTAAACATTATAGCGGTTCATAACTTATCACCCTGTACATTGTAATCCTATAAAACACGATAGGATTAGAAAAACCAACGCCAGCACAGAGACACCAGACGCGAGGTTGGAAAGTATAATGTAATATACGTATGTATGGGTACACAGTATGGTATGCGTCAAAGAAACGGTGATAAGGAAAGTCGAGTGAGCGAAAATGGATCGGTGGTCGTTGTAGGTACACGCTATGATATACAAGTAAGTACATAAGGCGACAGCCTCGTGGCTCTGTCCTTCGAAGGGGGAAGGAAGCGAGGGTGGCTGCGTTGCGACGGGGGGATCTCTCGAGACGCGCGGCGACAATGCAGATGATCAGGCTCGTTTCGAGTGACTATGTGTACAGTCACCCTCGAGATTCGGGGATGGATCGGTGCGTCTTTCTCCGTTTCTTTAGCGAGCGACGCTGGATGCCCGGTTACGTACGCGGGCTCTATCGAGCGCTTCGGGGTCATTTTTACCTTTTGGGTTGGAGCTTGGTGGTCTCGATCGGGTGCCTCGAGCGTTGACTCCCTGCTGGTGGGAATAGCTTTTTTGGGATCCATGTGCCTCGTAGCTTGGCTTGCATATATTGTACGTAGACTACGGAATTTGAGTGCTCGCGTCGGCTCATCCCTGGAAATCAAAATCATTTGGACAGAGGAATCAAAGATACACACTTTTACATTACTCATACAATTTGTGCAATAAGTAAAATTTCAATGGTACAAGGTATATCATACAAGTAAAAAGGATTAATGACTCTATACTATATAAGTGTAGAGCTGGTATGTGTATTGCTTACTATACCAAATTTCAATCGAGTACACCTGCTATTGATTCACAACATCAACATATCGACCCTTCAATCGCTCGCTACGTATACAAGGGGTGCACATAGCCGATGCCTACAGGCACTCACAACAGCCAACACCGACAACGACCCCAACAACTATAGTGGGAAGACATAAATAACAACAAGAGGGACAAAACACGCCGCCATAGCGCTCATCGGGCGATGAGCATTTACGATTTCCGGCGACAGAAACGCGCGCGCGCGCCTGTCCACGTATCTTACACAAGCAAATGTCCACAAACACTCTGTATTACCAATTTATACATACATACACACGCGCCAAAGAAGGCATCCCCTGTCGCGATCGCGAAACCTGTTTTGCGCTGTATATCGCGCCGCATTATCTACGATAACGGGCTGCAGAGGCACGAGGGTGCCTATGGGTGTATACGGCCGTTTTTTGCCGCGCCAAGCGCCGCGCTGGCTGCCAACGCCGCCGAATAATCGGTATCGATTGCCCGATACCCGTCACTCACTCCGTCTGACGGTGGTTCTGTTACTGTTTTTTCATTTTTTCGAGCGGGCGCGCCGATTAAGATTCCTCGGGTGTTTGTCGCTCGCCGAATCCAGTCGTGGCGGTTCTTAGAATTTGCGGGGCCATTGCTCGGATAAGTAGAGCACACGGACCGCTTGCTCGATGCTTAAAGAGCACGAAAAACGACGATTTTTTTCACCAATTGGTTTTTTGATGCTAGTTGATGTGGCTGTACGAGGTAATTGATCCTGTGGTGGACTTTGGAAATTTCTCCTTACCAAAGCTTATCTGTACTCACAAGAAAGTGAGTGACTGAAACGGATGACTTCTGATCACCGATAACCCAATATTTCGTCCGAGTTAGCCAAGTATCACAAAACTTGCAACAGTTGTAGATAGTCGGAACTCTAAAAGTGCCCATTTTTAAGG